CGCAGACTAACCACCCGTCTGGCACCAAAGGGGCAGCACTGGCCCACGTCAGAGTCCAGAATGGGTGAGAAAGGAGGAAGCCTGGAAACGGGCTGGGGAGGGGCAGGCACGCGCTGGTGCAGTGAAGGAGGTGAAATAAAATGAGTATGGATTGCTTAATAATAAACTGAGGACCTTCTATGTAAACCCGAACCCAGATCTCAGGAGAGTTTTAAAAAGAAGAAACGGCTGTGTTTTCACATCCCGATTAACCATTGTGGGGACAGTGCAGGCCTGAAGCAGTGTGTTTCCTTCTATTGTACCTGGGTCGCTGTGAGTCGGAAGGATGCAATGGCCCCTGGGCAGTAGCAATGGAGTGTTACTGTGTCACGCGAGAAAGTAACGGAGAAATGAGTTGGCTGTTTTCTTTTCCAAGTCAACCAGAAGTCAGAGGCTCCGGTGCATCTGGGGCGGTAGAAGGACTTCCGGGTGGGCCCTCGGTGCTGCGATGGGGATCCACGCCAGCGCAGAGGAGGGACACGGCCTCACCTGTGTAGAGCCTGGCAGTGCCTGATGGGAAACGGCATAGAGACCAGAGAAAACCCCAGCGCGGGCCCGGGGCTTTCTGTGGCCAAGCGTGTGTTCTTCACTCAGCTCTGGTCTTTCTGGGTCAGGGAGCTGGGCCCTCCTCGGTGTCTCTCAGGGGCCTGCGCGCTCAGTCACTGAAGACGCTGTCTGAGAGCTAGCCTTACCGAGTTTTTCTGAAAAGACGCCAGAGCAGCGCAGGCTTTCGTGGGGTTTTCTCAGCCCTTGTTCACAGAGTATACTGACTCTGTAAAGAAAGCCCGTGAGAAATGGGCGGCACCAGCTTACTCGTCGTAAATGATCTTCTGTCCAGCACAGACTTTCCCTCGAGCCCACTAACTCGTTTAAGGCTCCAGGCCACGGCGTTCACCTTTGGAGTGACCCCTCGGAGCCCATTCTGGTTTGTGACCTGGCTTGAGCCAGACACCCTGGCCTCCTTGTCTGCCTCTAAGTGGATGTTCCTCGGACAATGACGTCGTGACCCAGCAAAGTGTGTGTGTGTGTGTGTGTGGCGTGCACAAGTGCACCTGCATGTGTTCTTGGTGTACGTGTGTTCTTGTGGTTGTAGACTCCGCTTTTTGCGCGTGTGGAACTGGCCCAATGGCAGCGAGTTTGAAGCCGCTGCTTCCCCGGTCACTGGTTCATCGTGTACTGATGTCAGGCCCACTGCGTGCAGGTCGCCCAGCCTCACACACGTATACACATGTGTGTGATAACCTGTTGTATGTTTTCCTGCCCTGGGTACATACTTGGGGAGCATCCTGCAGAGAACCACATTGGTTGGCCAGGGTTTCATCCCCTATACCCCTGCCCCTGTCATTTGGCCGATGCCCCAGAGAATTCCCAAGGCAGGCACATGTGCTGACCATTCCTTCACTCCGAGGCCAGTTCTGACCCAGTGGGTGGTGTATGCCATCCGAAACCTCACGGAGGACAACAGCCGAAACCAGAATCTGATCGCAGAGATGGAGCAGCAGGGCCTGGCCAGCGTGTCCGCCCTCACCAAGCTGGGCTTCGAGGTGGAAAAGCAGGGTGACAAGCTGATCCTGAAGTCTGCCAGCCAGCAGGTGAGTGTCCCCAGGCCTCCCTCCAGGGCGTGCTCTCAGGTAGCCTAGGCGTGGTCGCCCTTGCTAGGAGGTAGGACGCCCCTTCACACTGCCCCCTCGCCGCCGCAGTTAGTGGCTGTGGAGGCCCACCCTGGGCACGGGAGTTTGCCTTCAAAATGGTTTGCCAAAAACACCCTGTTAACTTTGTCGCAGGCAATTCTTTGTTCAGGCATTATGCTGCCGTTTCCTTAAGAGAGTTAAAATTGCAAGCTTATTCTGAGGGAGAAATGTAAAAATGTATTTTCACACTTTACACGTGCTTCTCAGCGTGTCTTTCAAAGTGGGCTCTCTCAGTGATGACTCGTGGTCCTCACATCAAGAAACAGAAAGCCAAGCCCTTGAAAACCTGTACTGTGTGGGTTCCGGTGTCCCCGATCACCGAGGGCTTCCGTCTGGCTGTCGTGGTTCTTGGAGACAGATTGGTTATATCTGCCATCTTGTTTCTTTTGCCTCCCTAGTGAACACCCAGCTACCTGAAGTTTTGGACTCTGCCTCATTGATTCTTCGTGTTCTACAGTTCGTGAAACTCCAAGTGTGTGAAGATGTGCAAGTACAAATTCGGGAACATGTAATCTCTTAGAGAGTAGAGTTCAATGTATATAAGCCTAAATGTGTAAGTAGACAAGTCTTCTGTTGTTTCTCTGCTTTGAAAACCTAGCTGTCTGTCTGCCTTTGTCTCCGTGGACGCAGCGTGTATTGAAGTCATACATTGTACTGACCGTGGCCGCAGAGAATAAAGTCTCCTGGAGGACACACCCCTTGTTTGGCAGAGACTGGGTGTTTGCTCCGAGTCTGTTTGTTCCTTCGGATGGCGAGTCAGCTCGCTTTTATTTCCCCCGTCCCTCATTGGTTTTCTGAACTCGGGCAGGCAGTTGAAGTAGTTTCTCACTGTGATTAATTCTAGCCATCTCTTTTCACCCTTTCTGCCTTTCCCAAACATTGACAAGACTCATTTCCAGTTAATTAATTTGAGAGATGCTGAAGAATAGAGACCCCTACCTCTTCATGTTAGGGACTGGGCCGTGTTGTCATTGAGCCCCCCTCCTCTGGAATGTGGCAGGGACCCAGAGGGGCGGAAAACACTCCGACCATTAACTCTTCCCACGCTAAACAGTCCTTGAGTTGGATGTCTTGCTCTTCGCACTCTCAGAAGCTAACTCCCGAGCCTTCGCCCTCTTGGTGCTGCGGGAGTTGGGGAAGGAGGAGTGTGCAGAACCATCATCACCTTGTGGTTCTTCAAGGGCTTCTCCAGGGTAAGAAGCAGCGTGGACTCCGCCGCTGCAGCGGACCCTGCAGTGTAAGCAGTCTGCCCGCCTGGGGACACTTGGATCACAGGCAGAGCAGGAGTCTCTCCTTGACCAGCCACATCACTAACCTACCCCATGCAGTGATGTGGCAGAGCTCACGTTGCACCCCGCAGTATCAAAGTAACAGAGACTCTCCACAAAAACACTAGTTGCTCCAATGGGGAGCTCTGCGATGCGTTTCCTGGCGGGGCTCCAGGTGCTCTGTGAGAAGGGCAGGTCTGCACTCCACCGCCTCTGTCCTCCCAAGGGCTCTTAGGAGCTTTCAGTCAGCAGGGTCAGGGTCGTGGCTGTGAATAGCACTCTCTCTCTGACGCCCCTCCAAAAAGAAGCCACCACAAAACGTACACTGCACAAAGAAGCTATTCTCCCTGGGACACAATGAGTTAAAACCCTATTCTCTACTTGGAAGCCCAGCCAGAGGGGGAACAGCGGGGGACCCCTTTTCCTTTTAACAAGTGTGCAATAGACACTTCTTTGCTGCCTCCCTCAGTGCACACCAGTGGAATCACACAAACACGGCAGTATCAGCCATATAATAACAAACCCAAATAAATAAAAGGGAGCCTTGTGTGAGGACAGAATGGGGGAGCTGCTGTGTGTTTTCTAAAGAGGAAATGTGGGGCTTGCACAGTGAAAACATGCTGATGGCGGCATTGTGGCCGCCTTTCGAAGCCTCTGGATAGATAATTCTCTGACACAACAGCTTCCCTGTCTCGACCGGGACACTCGGGCCTTCTGAGAGCCTTGTTGTCCATGCTATCAAGGACTAAATCACCACCCCAGTCAGGCATTTAGGAAGAAAGCAAAAGCAGGCCAGCCTCACAAAACGTGTGACGAGAGAGCGGTCACAGCATGGTTTGTGACCACATCACTGCTTTCAAGAGCAGTGACAGCAGCCCCTCTCCTGCGCCAGTTACGGTTTCACGGATTGGGGCGGAGGGTGGGCAGGGGAGGGAGGCCTTTCTGCTTGATAACGAGTCCACAGGTTCCCAGACTCGTCTGTTAACACCTCAGGAATGACACATTATGAAGGCATGCATTGTCCCATTTCAGTTCTGTGCTGCTGGAGGTGTCCGGGTCAGCACGGTTCCCACTGCAAACCGGACATCCAGATGATTATGTTGTGCATGCAGTAACTTCAGAACCGCATGACTTTGGAAATGCTCAGCTTTGTCCATTTTGCAGAAAGGCTGTTGAGAGGGCTTGAGCTACCCATTAGTACATTTAAAATAAAAAATTGTTCCATAGATGTTTATCTGGGACCTCCTCGCTAAGAAGGCTTTGCTACCGAATGCTGTCATAACAGCACCTGGCATTGGGATGTCCTGCTGTTCCGTAATGTCTGTCCTTGAACAAGTAAGCAAAGATGTTGGAGCAACAACCCCCAAAAGAGGTAATCTCTTGGCAGGAGGAGGCTATTTCTAAGTTATTTTCTGCGCACAAAGGAGTCCGTTTTGACACGTGAAGCTGTAGAATTAAGATAGTTTTAGACCTAAAACAAAACCAGGCCTGGGGTGGAGTGGGGTGGAGGGGGGGGAGGGCTCGGTGCTGTCCGAGGTTCTGATCATCTTAACCATATTGGCCTATATACTAAAACAAGGAAGTCAAGTAAAACCCTAATTTTCAAAACCGGACGGAGATTTTTGCTTTCCTTATGTTTGCATGACACGAAATCCCATTTTCTTGCATTTGTCTGAGTGTCTTCGGTCAAGTGATATTTAGGTGACGTTTTACCACAGCAGCTTGACCTCCCACCCACACCAGATAGGGATTCTGAAGCTGCAGTCTGTCCACAAGCTCATGGTCGCCTTTAGGACCAGAGCCATCGCCCGGAGAGATTGCCTCTTGCAGGCTTTCGATAGCTGTTTTATTCTGACTTAAATTAAGTGACAAAGACAGTCTGCCTATTTAATTTTTACATTATTTTAGTGAGAGCCTGGGGCTTATCTTCACACTGGCTATCGCTTTGCCACTTCTCTGTGAAGGGTACTAGCCGGCTGCTGCAGGTACCAGGGCGTGGCCAGGCAGGGAGACGAGCAGTGGGCTAGCCCAGGTGCGGCAGTTTGCACCTCTCGGGCCATGATGTGTGGCTCTTTGTGTGTGCACATGTGGCTCTGAAATAAAATGGAGAAATTTTTAATTTTAGCGGATATTATTCAGGTGGTGGTGATTTCATTTGTTTGTAAAAATATACTTATGGCCCTCGAATAATTTTTACAGTGTGTGAGGGACAGGATTGGTGCCTCCGTCTCCAGTTTACCAACCCCTGGGCTAAAGAGAACAAAGTGAGTAGCTTGAGTGGAGAGGGGAACAAGGGAGGGAAAAACGATGGCCCCTTTCCCAGAAGCACGTCCAGAAATGCCTCGATCGTGCCTCTGGATCTAGAACAAGAAATGCGGTGCTGAATTCAAATGGATTAAATGCTCCACTTACAACACATTTCCCAAACTGCATGTAACGGACTGCATGATACTTACAAATGATACACCCAAAGCCCGACTGTACAGGCAGGACGGAGAAGCTCACAGCAGATCAGCAGTGCCACGTGGGCTTTCTACATGATATTTAAATAAAAATACAATACATTGGACAGCAGCCCACAACTGCCGTGAGGATGGGTGTGGTGGAGACTAGACATGCACACTGGCTTGTTGTGGAGGTCTTTGGAGGCTCACACATTAGTTTTCCACACAGGATATTTGTCAGGTTTGGGGTCTTCATCAAACACTACAAATCTCAAAACACTGATCAGTTTATCACAACTGTATGAAATTAGATGTTAGAATTTTAAAATCCCCCAAGGGGATGAATCTCTGAAACAGCCCAAGTAGAAATGCCCTGGAGGGAAGACTAAAGGCAACAACCTAAAGGTAAATTAGGGCAGCAACCAGCCTTGATGACTAATTAGATGACGGTAACCAGCACCCACTCCTGCCTTGTCAAGGGAAGGGTGGAAACTGAGAGGATAGTCATCGGCGCCTTTACATATTTGACTTTTATCATCAGATGGGTCAAAAGCCAGACAATAAGAAGGACTACCTAAAACCAAGAGTAAAAATAGTGGAAATGCTCCCAAATATGATTCAGACGTTGGTGTTGGTAGACAAGAACTTTAAATAGCTATGGTTAACGAAGCCAAAAACAAAAATTAACGAACAAGAATTTGAACAGTTGGCATCTATAAAGAATCATGAGAGATGTCAATGAGATGGGAATCGCTGAGGTTTAAGAAAAAATCCTTAGATTTCATGGCAGAGAAAACATAAATAGAAAATAACCAGATTACACTAAACGAGCAAAGTACAGAAGAGAGCACTGAAGAATCGTGTGGCTCTCTGAAGAGATGTAGAGGAAGCTCAGTGATTGAGCGCTCAACTGCCAATCAAAAGATCAGCACTCTGAGCTCCCAGCCACTTTGCAAGGGAAATTGTCAGTCCACTTCCTTCCAGGACCGTTGCAGCCTGTAACCCTTACAGGCTGTTCTGCTTGTTCTTACAGGGTCACTGTGATTCGGAGTCAGCGGGCAAGTTTGGTTTAGTTATGAAAAGGTCTGCACTAAGCAGAGTAATGCCTCTCCGCACAAGACATCCACATCCCTGTGACTAAAGCTGTGAATGTTCCTGTCCGTAGTTTAAAAACAAAACAAACCCCCTGCAGCTTAAAATTTAGGACCTTGAGATGTGAGACTGTCTTGGATTATCTGCGTGGATCCAGTTTAATCACCTGAGTCTTTAATAGTCGAGACATTTTCTTGCCTGTGAGAATCAGAGATGAAAATATGAGAAGGACTTGGCCCAGTGTTCCTGTCTTTGAACATGAAGGAGGCCATGAGCCCAGGAATGTGAGCGATCTAGAAACTAAAAGGCAAGGAAACAAGATGCCCCCTTAGAACCTCTAGATAGGAATGCAGCGCTATTGCCAGCTTGATCATAGCTTGGTGAAGCGCATGTCAGACTTCAAACCTACAGAACTCTAAGAAAATAAGTACGTTCTTTACGCCACTAGAATTGTGGTACTTTTTCACAGCAGCAATAGAACAAATCAAGGTCTAATATACGTATAATTGAAATCCTAAAAGGAAAGGAACTATAGTTTGGGGACTATGAAAATAACCCCAAAATAGGAATACAGGGGATATTCATCAACATTCTAAAGGGCATATGTTATATGGATCAACCATAAAGAGGAATAACACGAGTGATAGGAATTCCAGAAGAAGTGGAGGAAAAACATAAAAGAAATCGCCAAAAAGTTATTGGAAGAAAACTTCCTTTGCATCATGAAAGACAAGAGATAAGCATCCGGGAAGCTGACTGAACCCCAAAAGAAAATCATAAACATTTCAAACTTTCCAAAACCAGGCACGAGGAAAATCATGAGAGCAGCTCAGGGAAAATGAAAAGTTGCATACAAAGGGGAGCGAGTAGGACTGGGCTGATTTCTCAATAGAAACCACGAAGGCAAGC